AATAAATGGTTTAATTATCGAGTATTTTAATTATTGTAGTATTTTAATTTTGGTTAAAGATAGAGAGCGCAATTAGTTGACTTTGAACTGAAAGTTTTTGTGTTAGTTTTGTTTTATTTCTACGCAGCTTGCACACTAATACTGATAATTGGTTGTGATTAATTTGATTTGGTTTTTATGTAGGTTATGCTACATTCAGATTCTTGTGACTGATCTAGTTGGAAATTAATTTTCTTTCTGAAGTCACATAGAAATATTGCCCAGAATCCTTGCAGTTCCTCACTATGACCACTAGAGGGCAGCAAATACTCTAGTTTATAATTAATTAGTTTTACAAATTAGTGTTTGCAGCTGTTTAGGTCGTGCAGGAAACGAATTATGAAATTTTGTTTTCCTTGAAAGGTTTTGTTTTTGTTATGGTAAATATTTAATTAACAACAGAGACAGAAATATGTGGTGAAGAATGAAGGTACTCCGTGAGATGATCAGCTGAGTTTTAWTGCAACAACAGGAAACACAGAGAACAACCTGGCCTGTCTCTGTGCCTCTGCTTCTCTCTGTCAGTCTCTCCACACTGCTCACTACTGTTGAACTCTGTTGTCGAACTGTGTCTCGAGAGGCCTCATATATATATTAACAAACACCATTATGCCATCTTAGCAAGATTTGATACAAGGTCAATGGAAACACAAAGATAAACACAAGTGATATCTAAGAATGACTGTTGTTAGCAAATCTTGTTCTGACTTTAATCATTCTATCTGCAGATGAACAGCACGTCATGAAAACCTAGGTCATTAAAGGATGTCATGAATTACTTGCTCAAACATAAAGTATTAGTTCTACCACACTCCCCCATCTGATCATTAAATCACCAATTAAATGATCACAAAACAAAAAAACTCTTTAATGCATTAAAAAAATGTTAACATAAACCCAAGTTTATGTACTTTTCTAACATCCCAATCACAGAAATTCAATTTTTACTCCTCCCACAGTAATHACTAACCCCAAAACATAGTTATCACACAAAAGTCTTTGGATCATCTTGAACACAAACAGGATTGTCTGTTTTG